TCCTGACTCTAGGGGGCAGTGCTCATCTCTGTTTCAAAGCCGAGGATCCAACGCTGTCCGAAGACGTCTCCGTGGTCATGTGGCCGGCATGATTAAACACTGAAGGCGCACAGAAGGCTGCTCCCTTCCCACCAAAGGTGGTCCCTATTTTTCTACTTGCATTTTTTACATGCTTTCGAAATGCTAGGTTGGCAGAAGCTGGGACAAGTCACGGGAGCTCACTCTGTTACGCGGCGCTAGGGATTTGAACCGCCAAACTGCCGGCCTTTCTGGTCGACAAGCTCAGCATTTTATTCACTGAACCACCGCGTCCTTTAAAGTACTTTTACCCACCTACAAACCAGGAATGGCAAAACTGAGTTCCTGTGAAGATGGATGAGGTGGTTGAAGCTGTTTTGTAACTCTCTAGCCTTAAAAGGAGAAGCTACGCTGCTCGGATGCGTTGCCTCTTCAATTAAGTGAAACCTCTAGGTTCAAGAGCAGTCTACCTCCCAAAGCAACAGATCTGTTGGGTGGGAGAAAGGGGGCCAGCAGGAAACCTTTCCACAAACATCGGTTGTCCTCTGTAACACATAGGATGCTAGCTTAAAACAATCCCCCAGTTCAGCCTTCCTATTTTTAGCAGCTATCCCTTGCGTTTCATTTACCAAAATCCAGCGGCAAATCAAGATGCGTCGGGAAGCCGAAGTAGCAGGAAAGGCCCACNTATCTATCTATATCTCCTATCTATCTCTCCTATCTATATATCTCTATCTCTTCTATATCTATCTGTCTGTCTGTCTATCATCTTTGTGTCTTCTATCTAATCTATCTCTACCTATCTCTATCTTTATCTTATCTATTTTATTTATTTATATTTTTGTCATGTTTATATAGTATAGCTTGGAGGTGGCTTGAAGTCAATGGGTGGACCTCAAGTATTGGTATTGGTATTTGGTATTTATTCGATTTGTAAGCCGCCCTATTCCCCGAAGGGATTCCCCAGACAGAAACCTCGATGACTTTAAAACGCACAGAATCCCTGATGGAGTACATAGCTTAGCCATGCTTCTTTAAAATTGCCAGGACATTCAGCATTTAAGCTGCTGCTGCTGCCTATCCCACCCCCAACCCCCCTCTCAAAGTATTTATCTCCTCCCAGGGATCAGCCTGGTCAGTTATGGGAACTATTTATCATTAACATCTGATAAGAAAAAAAAGAGAAAAGATGGTCCTGTTTTATTCCATTAGAAAATGGAATATATTAGGATCAGGCTTGGCTTCCTTCTGCTTCTTTGGTATAATAGATATTGCAATCCATTCCATGTGCAAAGGCCTGCCCCTTGGAAAGAAAATTACAAACAAACAACCCCATGTTTCCCTTTAGATGATACTGTGCTGTAAACACCAGTAAAAGTGGGAACCGCAAAGGTAAATATTGTGATTTTAAGGGTATTCCTGTGTCCATCTGTTAGTTACATTTGGTTAGCATAAATGTTTCAGTGTTATGATAGCGTATATTTTTCCCCAACATGTTATCCACCAGGTGGAGCTCAACGATCAAAAACTAATATTGACTGGAGCAATTCTAGAAGGGAAGCGATTTAAAATTAAACTCACTGCTTCTGGGAAAATGAGAAAGTTCAGACACAGGAGCCTCTCTTGATGCGATTCAACAATGCTGTCTGGGGAATTGTGGGAGTTGAAGTCCATGCATCTTTAAAAAAAAAAAAAAAGAGGGAGTCAAGCTACTCTCCAAAGCATCTGAGGGTAGAACAAGAAGCAACGGGTGGAAACTAATCAAGGAGAGAAGCAACTTAGAAGTAAGGAGAAATTTCCTGATAATGAGAACAATCAATCAGTGGAACAACTTGCCTCCAGAAGTTGTGAATGCTCCAACACTGGACGTTTTTAAGATGATGTTGGATATCCATTTGTCTGAAGTGGCGTAGGGGTTTCCTGCCTGAGCAGGGGGTTGGACT